CCGGATCGCCGCCGCCTCGGCCGCCGCCCCCGCACCCGCCTCCGCCGCCGCCGCCTCCGGCGCCGCCTCGGCCGGCGCCGCCGCGCCCGCCTCCGCCGCCTTCAGCCCCGCCGCCTCCGCCGCCGCACCCGCCGCCTCTTCATACAGCAGCCGTGTCGCCGCGTCCCACGCCGCCAACTCGCGCTCCTCCCTCTCACTGAGCGCCGCCCAAGCCCGCCTCGAGGCGCTCACCGCGGAGATCGCCGCCCTCACCGCACAGCTGAGGAACCCCTTCACCCGCCTTGCCAGTCTCCCCGCCACCAGCCCCGCCGCCAGCGCCGCCGCCAGCCCCGCCGCCAGCCCCGCCGCCAGCCCCGCCGCCAGCGCCGCCGCCAGCCCCGCCGCCAGGGGGCAGCCGCCCATGCCCGCCGCCTGGGGGCAGCCGCCCATGCCCGCCGCCTGGAGCTCTTGGGGGTTGCCCATGCCCCCAGGGGTGTAGGAATTCTCTTCAAAGGGCCTTGTGTTTTGAGGCTCAGTTGTCAGTCGAAACTGACGGGGCTGCGGGGGCGGGGCCAGCGAGGCAAAGCGCTCCAATCCCCAATCCCATTGCATGCACATTGGGCCAGTGCGCTCCGGCGTCCGGGCAGCGCACACATGCATTTGTGATATAGTTTGAATCAACGGGTTGCGAACAGCAACCGGCTAAAGTAATTCCATTCCACATTCACTGTCTGTGGGCTGTGGTTGTGGCACACAGCTCGCGTTACAATTTACAAAACCTTGTTTGGTCATCTGCGCCATATAGCATATATATTCTCGGCGCATCCGCATTCGGTATATAAGCCGGTAACCGGCTCTCGGTGCCTTCCAGAGGCAGCTGCGACCCCGCCGAGTGGACGGCGGGGGGGCCTCACATCCAGGGCCGGGGAGCTAAGAAGCCCGCACCCAGCGGGCCGGGTGATCGGCATCGCTTCGGGCTACGAGCATTTAATGCACACACAGCATGTAATCTTACTTACACACGATGCGCCCGCATCCACATCATCACCGAAGCTCGACAGTAAGGGCACTCATCGGGCAGCCGTTGGGAGCAGATGGCACACGCGCAGAGGTGACCACACGGTACCGCAATGTGAGTCTTGGGGTGGGTAAAGCAAACGATGCACGTCGACTCGCCGCCGTTGGAAGACTCAGCGTCCGCCAGGCGGTCGTGTCTTGAAGCTGTGAGGCTCGCCAGGGCGATGGAGGGCGACTCCCTCTGAAGGGCCACCGTCGTCTGCGCTTCCCCTGCCGCCGCATGCAGCTCCAGCTTCGCCTCTGGCGTCATCGTTGCCAGCGCCGCGTGACCCTCCCCTTCATCCTCCTCCTCCGCTGCCCCCTCGCCCGCAACACCTCCCACGCCCTTGACATTGCCCTTCGTCTTCTTCTTCTTCTTCTTCGCCTTCTTCAGCGCCTTTGCGCGCGCCTCCGCCTCCGCCTCCGCCTCGATCTCAGCCAGAAGCGCCTCGCCTCGCCGCGTCGCCTCCGCGTCCGCCGTTGCCTTCGCCTTCCCAGCTGTTGCCACCGCAGCCACCGTTTCCACCCGCACAGCCGCCTTTGTGTTCGCCGCCAACTCTACCGTTGTAGCTTTGCATGTGTCGTGTGCCTCCTGAAGGGAAGATCTGGTTTCCTCAAAGGGCCCGAGACGACTCTTCAGCCGCTGAAGGTGCTCCTTGATGGCCTGGACGCACAACGAGTCGCCCAGCCCCTCCAGGACCCTTGCCATCTGCAGTGCCGTTATGCCCGTCTCTCATATAAAATGCGAGAACGTCCTCATATCTGCTTTCCGTAAAAGGACAACTCACTTCTTCACCAGCATGGTCGGCCCCTTCAAGATGGCATGCTTCGGCCTTCGCTCGCTTCGCTGGACACCTGCGCGTGTTGAGCGACACTATTCTTCTTGCACAAACTTGCTCGACATGCACCGCGACCCATTCCGCCTGCTGGAGGCTGCTCTCGGACGCTCAAGCGGCGCCAGCCAGCGGCTCGGCCGCGCATCCTTCACACACGCCGCCACGACCGGGATGAGAGGGACCAGTGTCGAGTCATGGTACGAGCTGCATGTGAGGGGCGGCTGTGGACACAGCAGGTCCACCAGACGGACCTCAAAGCTTGCCGTCGGCGTGCTGTCGTGGGGAGAGCCCGAGACAGCTGCAGAGGAGCCGAGTGCAGTGGCGAGCCAGAGGCTACCTGGGTCACCAAGTGGTAGCCCTTGCCCATTCTGAGCAGGGCTGTGCTTTGGTGGGGTTGTGCTTGAGCATGTGTGAAGTGGGAGTGCGTGCCGGCGGTGTCTGTGTGTGGGTGAAACGGGCGTGTATGAGGCCGTAAGAGCCGTTGTATGAGCCGTAGTGGGCTTCATCACCCAAAATAAGGACGGTTTGGGAGAGCTCAGACTTGATACTGATGGGCCTGGGCCAGGAGAGCGACAGAGAAGGCGAGGTGGTGCGGGGATGCCGGATGCCGCGGGAAGAAAAGACAAAACAAATTCGCTAAAAGGGATCATGAATTTGGTGAAGGCCGTCGCGGCGGGCAGAATTTTTCTTTTTTCAAGAAGAGACTATTTTGCTTCGCCCACACAGTCCGAACCGACTGGCTCAGCGCGCGCTCGCGCGGAAGACACAGATGGGCGGAAAGGGTCGCGCGCAGGCAAAGATGAAGATTATGGCCAAGTTGGGCGAGAACCTGTACCGCACGACCAAGGTGTTTGGGCCGATGTGGGAGAAGCAAAAGGCGCGCGCAGCACCCCGCGCCGCGCCGCGGCTTCGGCCACTGCAGCACTCACGCGCTCGATTCGGCAGCGCCATGCAAAAAGCACCCACACTGCACCAACCCCAGCCTGATGCCCCCGCGCGTGCCGCAGTGGCAGAGGTTCCGCACGGTGGAACGTGACAACATCATCGCTTGGCAGGCCAGCTCATCCACGCCTCTCACACTGCCCCTCACACTCCGCCCCTCACTGCCCACGCACCGCCCGTCACCCACTCCTCACGCCTCACCATCGCCTCCTCCTCTGCCCGCGCCCGCCTTACCGCTCGCCGTCCGCGAGCGCAGAAGTGGAGAGAGGCGGAGAAGAGGCTGCAGCGGGACGAGGCGGCGAGGCTCAAGATCGGAGCTGTAGCGGCGGGCGGCGGCGAGGGGAGCACGGCTGGGGCTGCGCCAGAGAGCGACGGGGCGTAATGGTGTGGAGTCTTTTATTTTGTGCGGCGATGAACGAAACGGAAGTATATAGAGTACGTATACGTACATCAAACCATCTCGTCGCCGCCGCCGCTTCCCCGTGCAGACGCGAGCAGTTCCTCGGACTCGAAAGCCGCCAGGTCGAGCGCCTGTGATCACACAACTCCCGGTCGCGCGCGTCGGCGTCCTGCACAAGCCACCGCCGGTGGACACGTGCGCGGGACAGGGACACAGGTGTCTCGCGAGGTTGTGTGCACCCAGCTGTAGACGCTCTGCACGAGGTCGCCCTTCTCGATGGCGCCTGTTCACAGCCGCGTCCGAAGTGAAGAGGTGGGCCCTCCCGGAGGACGCCCCCCCTCTCTCTCTGGTCGGCGGCGGCGCCGCGGGTGGAGATGCCCTTGCGCGCGAGGAAGCGTCGCAGCGTTCGGATCGGCAAGTCGGCGCAGCAGCGCGCCTCGGAGCGGGAGAGAAGGCCGTGAGGTGACACAGAAAACTCCGAGAGATACGAGAGCTGGCCGTTGCAGCCGGGAGAGGGCGGAGAGAGACAGCCCAGCCAACGCACAGCTCGCGCCTTGCAGTGGCGCGCGCAGAGCTGGAAGAAGCAGTAGGAGCAGACACGCCGCCGCGTGCGGCCGCTGCCCGCGCACGCCGTCAAATAGCTCGTGTCGCAGTGAGAGGCAGTCATGGCAAAAGACCTGCAGAGGCGGCGGCAAGTGGCGGTGGCGGCATGGGAGGTTCGGATTCAGAGGCGGAGGAGAAGGGCGAGCGCAGACGTTGTGGCAGTGCTCACACTCTACTCGCCAGCGCGAGAAAAGGGAGAAGGCAGCGCCGCAGTCCACGCAGGCGAGGAGGACGTCGGGGTCACCCTCTGATGGAACCTGTGGACGCGTCCCGGTTGGTGGACGTGTCGCGCTGGGCGTGTGCCTGTGTGGCCGAAGCGTCCTGGTGGTGCAGCAGGCCCCGCCAGGCTGCCAAGGCGTGAGCAAGCGCCGCCATCGTCCCACGAGCATAGAGCCGTAGCCGCAAACACGCCGAGTGTGCCGTTTGCCTGCCTGTGCTTTTTCGCGCCTCATCCTCGCCGTGTGGGTCGCCTCTTGCGTAGCGCTTGTAGAAGGCCGCCGAGTCACCCTGGCGGCGGCGCATTGGGTCGATTAGCTTAGTCTGATCGACAATACAGCCACTCCAGCACGCTCGACCCGAGCTCGACTTGTGGCGTTACAAGCAGATCAACGTATAAACGGGCTCCTGTCTCTCGAGGTTCTCGAGGTGGATATCCTTTGGCCGCGTTGGGTAGCTCCTGTCTGTGGCAGGCGATCGCCCGGCGATCGGTCACAAAAAAAGAGTCTTAGAACAAAACTCCCTCACACACCTGGCACGGGAATACAACGGGACTAGTCACGTGAGGTGCCCACTGTTGTGCGCAAAAAAGAGGGCCTCGAATCAGCATGTCTCTGCTCGTCTCCCTGCTCCTCGCTCGGCCGGGCGGCGGCTCGGGTGGTGCGGAGGCGTCGCCGCTGCGCGTGCGCGCGCGCGGGGCGGCGCTGGAGCACGCCTGCTGTCGCCGCCACGGCGCGACGCCCGGGGCCGAACGCGGAGTCGGACAGACTTTTGGCGAGGACCGAGACGCGAGAGCGTCTTCTAACCGAGCATCTTATCGCCGACCCGCTCTCCTGCGGCGAGCCGCGGAGGAGGGGCTCGTGCGATCCGGCCGAAGCGGCGGCGCGTGGCGCGCACACGCCCCGCTCGCCCGCGGCCGCTGTGGCATGGCTGGCGAGATCCAGCTTTGCCTCCTCGGCGAAGTTTACGAAGCTGACCTCGCTGCTGTGCTGCCGACGCGGCGTTTGGCTCGTGAGATGCGCGCGGCCGCGCGTGGTGAGGGATAGGCAGGCGGCGGCGGCGTCGCAGAACAGTGTGTACGCTTTGAAAATTTTGAAAAATGGCGACAACTGAGGGAGGGTGTAGAGGATGTAGAGTGTAGAGCGCTGTAGAGCTGTAGAGATGTAGAGCGCTCTGGAGCGCTGTAGAGCGCTGTAGAGCTGTAGAGCTCTACATCCGCCGCGGGACGAACTGCGTGCGTTGTAGAGCGATGTAGAGGCGCTCTACAACGTGAAATTTCTACAACAAACTCTACATCAAAAGCGGCGAACGAGGCACGGTCGCTCTCCGACATGAGGCGCGTTGCACTCGCCAGTGCTGCCCTGGCCTTCTGTCTGCCCGCCCAATGGGTGGGAGGTGCCTCTGCTGCTGTGGCATGCCTCACGGCTGCGACTGGCCGGCGCCTCGGCGCGTCAGCTCGGCTCGGCGTAGCGATAGTGGCCAGCGCAACTCGCCTGGACTCAACGCTCAGCCAGGAGCTCCCGCACGCGCTGGCGCGAGTCATGGCGCATGCAACGCGTCTGAATGCTCGCCTCGCCTTGCGCAAATGCGACCGTCCTCGCCGCCGACAGTCCACCGCCTGCTAAAGAAGCACTGCGACGAATGCGGCACCGGCGACGCATGGCAGGCTGGTGATGACGCAGTTATGGGGTGTTGTGTGCCATCAGAGTGACTCTCTGTGTGTCAGGGATAGTCAGGGCCGTCCATCAGAGCTCCAGTAAGCTCGGAGACACCCCATTAGTGCGACTCGACCTCTTTGAGTCACTGCCTTCCCGGCGGGTTGGCTGTAGAGCCTCTACAACAAACTCTACAACAAAATCGCGCTCTACATCGCTCTACAACGCACGCAGTTCGTCCCGTGCCCGATGTAGAGCTCTACAGCTCTACAGCGCTCCAGAGCGCTCTACATCTCTACAGCTCTACAGCGCTCTACACTCTACATCCTCTACACCCTCCCTCAGGGCGACAACAGAACCCTGCAGCAGCAGCAGCGCGCCCGCAGCCCGAGCCGGAGTGAGGAGGCGACGCCGCTGGGCGGACGCCGGAAGCAGCGAACAAAAAGCGAGGCGCTCCGGTGCTCCGGTGCGTGCGGCAAGTAGGCGAGAAGGCGAGAAGGCGCAGCAAGCGCAGCAGGTCCGGGACGGTGCGGTCCGATCCATGCCGCCCGCCCTCGGACTGCGATGGGTGATAGCGTCAGCGAACCCGTGAGCCGTGAACTGATTGGCCTAACACCCACATGAATGATCGTGTGGATATAAGTGGGGATCCAATGGACACTGTACCCGCGACCGCCCAAAGCCGTACTGTACCGTACTAATTGTCCAAGTAGGATCCTACTAGAGCCGTAGTCGGATCCTACTAGTCTGGACATAGGATCCTCTACCTCTGAGAGCTCCAGAATCCGAATGTACTGGAAATTAGCGTGCGCAAGGGATCCCAATAATGGACCCGGCCTGGCTGCGCGCCTGCGCAGCTGCAGTCCGCAGCCCGGCCATCACGTACTGGATGTTCTCGCGCAGCTGCGCGCGCGGGGGCTCCGCGCGCTCGGCCTCGCTCGCAGCGCGCTCGCCGGCCTCCTTCGCCCGGCGCTCCTTCTGCCGGGTCTTCTTGGCCTTGCGAGACGCGGCCTTTGCCGCGAGCTGCTCATCTGTGAGCTCCTTCTTCTTCGGCGCGGTGCGCTCGACGTACGAGCGCTCCGCCGCCTGCACAGACTCGCGGTGCGTCGCCCGCGGCCTTCTCGTGCTTCAGGTCGACCTCGATGGTCGCGTAGCCAGGCCTTATCACCCTGACACAAGACGCACCTGCGACCCTTCCGATCATCACCGCGTCCTCCAGTTGCGCGCGATCATGTAGCTATTCCAGGGTCCGCCGCGCATCCCCGGCAGTACGACGGTGGCCGGCGCTTGCGCGCCAGCCCCGTCCGCCACCGGGTCCGCGGCCGCGGTCCCTGTCATAAAAAGCCGTAGCTACGCGCGCCATGGAGATCGGCACGACGGCGGGCGCGACGAACAAACGAGAAACATATAACTGTCACGTGACGTCAAAGCATAAAAGGTACGATTATTCAACTTATATATCACTGCCTATACGCTAACTACCCCGACCCCTCGAAGCCGCAAGCGGCTGCGGCTGGACAGTTCAGAGTGCAAGCGTGTCACCAGCCCAGTGCCGCTTCCGGCGCCGCGAACAGGTACCACCAGACGAGCTCGCAATAGTACGAGGTGACCGGGTCGCGGCCGCCGCTTGCAAGCTCCTCGAGCATCGCCCGATAGAGCGCGCGCGGGTGGCGGCGCACGGCGGCGGCGCTCACGCCGAACTGCGCGCCCTGCGCGTGGTAGAGGCGCGAGGGCGGTGCGCCGCCGAGAAATCTGCGCCAGAAGCGCTCGAGCGAGCCTGCCGCGCGCTGCTCCGCTTGCCGGCGCTCGATCCAATGCATCGAGGTCGCGAGCATGCTGAGCCCCGCATCAAGCTTGCGGTAGGGCACCGCGACGCGGCTCCGGTTGACAAAGCGTGTGAGCGCGCGACGGGAGCGCAGCGACGCCTCGTACTCCTCGTCGCTCTCGCCACCACCGCTCCACAGCCCAAGCGGCTGCAGCAGCACCGGCAGCCGCGCACGGTTGGTGGCTTGCCAGGAGGCTGCGTGGCCGGCGGGCGGGCCGACGAGCTCCCCCGTGAAGAAAGCGGCGCCGGGCGGCGCGTAGCCAGTGCGAAAGGCGAGGCCGCGGAGGTCTGAGCGCGCGACGGCGGTGAGAGGAAAGAAGGCCTCTCGCTGCTCGTGTGGCGGCTCGGCGGCACGCACATAGTCCGCCACTGTCAAACCGGTGGGCAAGTGGCCGTCAGGATCGCCTTGCATGAAGACGGTCCATGGCGCGAGGGTCTCGTAGCGCTCTGCGATGTGACGGAGCCACGTGTGCGACTCGCGGCCGACATTCGGAAGCGCGATCACTCGCGGCGGTGGTGAGCCGACCTCAGCCGACGCGCCCGCTTGCGGCAGCGCTTCGCCCTTGTTGTAGATGGTGCAGTTGAAGCCGCTCGCGGCGCACCACGAGGCGTCCTCTGCGTATCTGGCGACCACCACCTCCACCGGGGAGGAGGAGGAGGAGGACGGCGGCAACGATGACGAGCATGCGCCCGCCGCGTCCGCGCCCGCCGCCGCCTCGCCCGCTACCGCCGTCGCACTGGCCCGTAGCAGCCCTGCCGTCGCATTGGTCCGTAGCAGCCCCGCCTCTCGCAACGCTGTCTCGAGGGCGCGGGCGACGCGGATCACGGGAGCGACGACCTCCGCCGCCGAGTGCAGCGCCGCCCCACGCAGCGGCACTAGATGGTAATGAAGGCCGAGAGCATACGCAGTATGGGCTGTGTAGATGGCGTGTGGCTCAGGCAGGCCCATCTCAATCGCATGCGCGCCGTCCCATGCAAAGAGCAGATTCGCCCAGCCAGCGCCGTGCACGCCGATGATCGCGACGGCGCGAGAGAGCACCCGCATCGTCTCGGTCAGCCTTGTCGACGGTGCGTCGGAGAGCAGAGCAATTGGCACCTCCCCGCCGTCCGCTGCGGCGGCGACGGCGCCGATGGCGCTGAGCAGCTGCGGCTCATTGCGTATGCGACGGATCTTTGCGGCGGCGCGCTGGAGGTACACAATGGGTCGCGGCGTGGGCACGGCGAGGGTGGCGCCGGGGAGGGCGAGGCGCGATCGCAGCAAGCGAAGGGCGGCGCGCGGAGGCAGATGAGCGAGGTCAGCGGCGGGCGGCGAAGCGAGCTCGGCAGCCAGCGGGTCTGCAAAGTCGCGAAGCAGGCGGGCAGCGGTGGCCGCGCATTCGGAGGCGTCGTTGGCGGCGCACGTGCCGGGCGGCGCTGGGGGCGGCGCCTCCCAATCCACAACCAGCAATGTCGCCGCATGCACGCGAGCGGCGGCGGCGGCACGCACGCCGCCCTTGCCCTCTGCCCCACCGTTGATCGGCCGTATCGGGTAGGGAAAGGAGTTGGCCTTCTCGATGCCGAGCCGCTCGAGCAGAGCCCACATCCATGGCTTGAGGCTGCTCCGGTCCGCCGGGAGCATCACGCGCAGCCGACGTTTCCGACGCTTTCGGCGCGTGGCACTGTCGTTGGCACTGTCGGCATCGATGGCATTCTCGGCGTCGATGGCGGCATTGTCGGCGCGGACGGTGTCGATGGCGATGACGAGCCGCGCGAGAGCATCCGCGACAAACGAGTAGAAATTGGCCGCAAACAGCTGCACCAAGCTGACCACCACCTCCTCCTCCGCCTCCTCCGCCGCCTCGGCTTCGGCGCCGACGCCAATCCGCCGTATCGCGCCGTCGCGCGCTCGCTCGGCCACGCTCTCCCTCGGAAGATTGAGGTGTAGCGGTATCTGATGGCCATGCGACGGCAAGTGGACATTGCACGCGCCATCGCTAACCACGCCCTCGTTGCCAGAGATCCAAACGTCGCGAAGCTCGGCGACGAACACACTGCGATCGGCAAAGCGGAGCGACGGCCAGCGCAGACCGGCGCGGTGCGGCCACGTGCGCGCCGAATACGGCCGCGGCGCTGTCCGCCCGTACAGTCGACGCGGTGACGCCGCGTGATGCGTGCGCACCGCGGCGACCGCACCACCAACGGGATGGTCGGCCCAGCGCGTCGGCCCGCCGGTCCACGAGGTGACGTCGGCAGTGTCGCATCGCATCTCTTGGCGCCACGTCGCGTACGCCAGCCGCTGCGCGCTCGCGAAATAGGGCGCCGCGGCGTCGCCCGTCCCGAAGAGCTGGTCGGTCCGCGCAACCTCGTAGTGCAGCGATGCGCTGGCCGGCGAGAGCGAGAGCGCCGCAGAAAAAGCGGCGGCGCCACCAAGCCGACCAGCCTCGTAGAGAACGCGCGCCAGCAGCGAATACGCCTCCGCACGCTCCGGCGCCAATTGGATTGTTCGCTCGAACGCCGCCGCCGCCTCGTCGAGTCGCTTGTCGTCGCTAAGAGCAATTCCGAGGTTTTCCTGCGCCGTCCACGACACGGGATTGATGGCGAGCGAGCGCGAGTATTCCTCCACGGCGGCGGCATGCCTGCCGGCCGCCGCCAATTTTGCGGCCACGTAGAAGTGGTCGGCGGCCGAATCCACTCCCGTGGTCTTCATGGACACGGCTGCCGGTTCGTGCAGGCGGAGACTTTTTTTGTTTTGAGAGCGCCTTGAGCACTTGAGCACTGGATAGGGTCGATTCCGCGTGGTACGGGACCCCTCGATCGTCTCGCCCTCCCTCACTGGTATGTTCATTGGGGGGGGTCATAACAAACACGGTACAGGATCGAGGTGCACGCTGCCGAAGCAGTGTCGTCCCCCCTCTCCCCGACGGCGATGGCGGTGTGACCGATCGAGCTACAAGAGGAGCTTGTTCAGCAGGATCCGGGATAGTCAGATGCACTACCTCACTGGGCCTGAGACCATCGCACGACGCACCCATCACCGTCTCGGATTTGTGTGGAGTCGAACCACTCCGGGATGGGCAAGCCCATCAATATTCACTATGTTTCTCCGCTGCACCTGCAGGGGATGGCGGGAGAGGGGTTGGCCGAATCTGGGACGGGAGGGAGGAGGAGGAGGGGGAGGGCGGGGGGGGGGGGGGGGGAAATTGATGTTAATTGTCAAAATTCCCGTTGTGCAAAAGGGGAGGGGGCTCTTACCGAATGCCTGGCCGGAGAAGGCCAAAAATGGGCCCCGGGGAAGGGGGGGGGGGGGGGGGCTCAGCCGTGCAAAAAGCATCAATTAATAATAGTAAGGAAGACATGTTGCCCGGCCGTTCAAGAAGTCCGTCTCGATTTTCGTTTTTCCCCACAGACCACTCGGGCAACTTTTACGAAAGGCAAAGTTTTACTTGACCACTCGACCACTCGGCGCCTTCGTTGTTAATAGTACAAACCCAATGGTCCTCTGCGAGCGGTCCGTCGTTGCGGTCACACACACGCACACGCCACGCCGCACCGCGCGCCCGCCCACCGCCCCGCCCAGGCTGGAAAGAGATGAGGAGACGGGACAGCAAAGGAGGAAGCCCAAACACGTATGGGAGGGTTCAGTAATGCGCCACGCTGCCCGGCGTCTCTCACTTTCCGGGACAGCCCCGCCCTTGTGAGGCAGGAAAGTGACGGCTACCCCGTACGCCCTGCGGCCTGCTACTCCGACGCCGACCTCTCGTTCTCCCCTCCTCGTTCCCCCCTCGAATGCTCTGGACCCCGACAAGCCGCCCGACGATGGGCCCCTGCCCCGCACGCTCCCGCCCCTCTGCCCCTCACACACACCCAGGCCCGACATGCACATACAAGACAAACCCGGCGTCCTGCTCTCAAAAGAAAAAGAAAAAATGGGAAGGAGGAGACCAGCGGGGGAGACTCCCCGCCTATGCAACACCCCAGAGAGGGGCTGCCATCGCCGAAGCTGTGCCTAAGCATAACTCCCAAACCCGCAGCGGCCCGGGGGGCCTTGGGGGCAGCCTGCCGGACCGCTGTTGCACGGGGCCAAGCCCCAGAAGATGAGAGTAGTTGATGGATCGGGCTGTCGACCGTGCCTCCCCTCTTTTCGTCAGAGTGGGACCTACGCCGCGCCGGGTAAGGGGCGCGCCCGGTCCTCGACGGAGCCGCGCGCCCCAAACGACCCAGGCGGCGAGTAGTCGTCCTCGAACCTTCGACTCGTAGTCGCCCGTGGTCAGCGCCCCTCCTCCCTCGCCCGTCCCTACTTGGGCAAAATTCATTTATCAGGGCTTCAGAGGTGAACCACGCACTTGGAGCACTTGGAGTGCAGTCATTAACCTCACATCCAGGGCCGAGGAGCTAAGAAGCGATAAATAAATAGAGCAGTCATCTCCAGGGAGAGATGGGCGACGCACACGAACACAGAGGGTCAGTGCGCACCCCGCCCCGCTCGCAGGGCGTGCAGCACACAGCAACACAAGACATATCTAGGCGCTGTGCGCCTCCTCGGGATTTCTGGGGAGGTAGGAGTGTGTGTGTGTGTGTGTGTGTGTGTGTGTGTGTGTGTGTGTGTGTGTGTGTGTGTGTGTGTGTGTGTGTGTGTGTGTGTGTGTGTGTGTGTGTGTGTGTGTGTGTGTGTGTGTGTGTGTGTGTGTGTGTGTGTGTGTGTGTGTGTGTGTGTGTGTGTGTGTGTGTGTGTGTGTGTGTGTGTGTGTGTGTGTGTTAGCGCACGCAGCGGGCCCGCTTGCGTCGAATTCTTTTGTGATCTGCAGCAGCTCGCCTTCGATCGCACGCCCTTCCCTCTGACCTTTGCTCGCCTCTCGCCCATGCCCTTCGTATCCTCGCCCGACAGCAAGCAGAAACGTTGGGCCAAGTCATTTGTTTCGGAGGAGGAGGCGAGCAGGCACAGCGAGACTCTTCGCCAGCGGAAGACCCAAAAGGAGGGCGAGGAAGAGCTCCTCTCGACCCGGGCTGTCTCTGGTTCTTTCGATTCGCCGGCGAAAAAAGCGAGGCCTGGCCCGCGGCCAGCGCCAAAGAGCGCGACGCTGGGCGATCTCGCCCTGCTCCTTTTCTTTCTGATGGTGCTGTACGTACTGGTGACGCTTGGGCCCGAGGCGAAGCGCCTGTGGTTTGTGTATCTCTCCGAGGCGAGAGAGCGAGCCAAGGAATACAAGGCGTGGAGGGAGGGCAGGCTCTGAGCCGCTCTATTGCGACATCGGGTCGGCCGTTGGTGGCTAGTAGACCGGCCTTACAACCGAGCTCTTGCACCAGCCGGCGCAGCACACAGACCGAGACGACCACGGCGCCGCCCACGGGAGCCGGTGGCAGCATTTCGGGACCTCGATGGGACCTAGCTACGAGATTTTACGGCGCGCTGACCCTGCTGTCTGCACGAGACACTCCCCAGTATCTGACTGGCGTCATCATGTATACGTAAGAACCAAGTACGCAAAACTTTTTTCTCGCCCCGGCCCCAGCCCAAGGCCCGGGTGTGTCTCGACTCTTCTCGTGTGGTCGACTTGCAGCGTTATACTCCACGAGCGCGACGCGATGACGTCTGACGTGACACTTGCTGCGCCGCCAGCGCACGCCGCACCAGCGCCACGCACGGCCGCGCACCAGCCGGGAGCCAGAGCCAGAGAGAGAGAGAGAGAGGTCAGCGGCGGGTATTACACCACTCTCTCTCTCCCGCACCGCAAGCGCCGCCGCGTGCCGCGGCCCTCACGCCCTCACGCCGCCGCTTTGCTGCGGAGGAGTCCGGCGGCGGCGGCGGCGAGCAGCGCCGCCACTCCAGCCACGCCGAGGCCGACGCCCATCCCGAGGCCCGCCGCCGCCGCGAGCCCGAGCTTCGAGTCGCCGAGAATGGTCACCTCGGCGCTGCCCGGAGACTCGTCGGTCCCCTCCGGCTTGACCGAGCCGGGCGGCCAGAAGCCGTGGATCATGGCCATGTTGGCCACAATCTGCCAGACGGTATTGGTGTTCTTATTGCCACGGGACTATCATGAGCATGACTACGAGTATGAGTCGGCCACCTGCCAGTCGGTCGGCGAGTCGAGCTCCGCGAAGGTATGCTCCTCCATCTCGTGCAGCGCGACGCGGCCCCCGAGCCTGCACTCCTCCCTCTCCATCACCTGCGGGAAAGCTCCGAGAAGGCTCCGGGAAGGCTCCGAGGCCCCCCCGAGCTTCCACACTCCTCCCTCTCCATCACCTCCTTTGTGGTGAAGTAAAGATGTGGGGAGATATGGGGAGATATGGGGAGATATGGGGAGATCTCACCTCCTTCGTGGTGAAGTAAAACGCGCCGTTCTCAATCAGCTCGCCGTCCCAGTCCTGCCTGCGCGGCCGCTTGGCCGGGTCGTAGTTCACCTGTGAGTAATCAACCACGGATCATTAAGAACAGGGCTATCAGCTGTCAAAGTACTAAAAGGCGAGGTTGCAGCCCACCGCGCGCGCCACGCCGCTGCGCTTGTCCACCGACCACAGGAAGCGATGCGCGCGGACGCAGGTGACCAGCGAGTCCGCCTTGGCGCGCCTACCTCGGTCGGCTGTATCTCGGCTGTATCTCGGCTGTATCTCGGCTGTATCTCGGAGAGATGTCAGCTCTATCTCAGCCGAGATCTCGTCTCTCGGCGCGCGGCATCGTCCCACTATATCTCGGCGAGATCTCGGCGAGATCTCGGCGCGCCGCATCGCGTCCCAACCCTTTTGGAAGTCGAGCGGCGTGATGAGCGGCGAGGTGGCCTGGGGCAGAGCAGAGCGCGTCAGTGGTGGTAGTGGTGGTGGTGGTGGTGGTGGTAGGAGTATAGTAGAAGTAAGAATCGGAACACAAATGAGGAACAATAATAAGAATAATAAGAATAGTCAAAATAAGAAGAATGAGAGCGGCGTGATCGGCGACCTGGACGAGGCAGAGGACGTCGTAGTTCGGGTGCGCCTAGAGGGCGGACGGACGCGCCGTCGTGAGCGAAGAGGGGCAATCGGCGGAGCCGGCCAGGCGAGTCGCCGCGCTTTGACAAAGTCGACCAGCGCTGACTCGGTCGACGCGGTGTTGGTCGCGGTGTGTGGCGAGCGGCGGTGGACTTTGGCGCCGCACTTCTTTGCAATCATGTGGATCTCGTCGTCGTCCGTCGAGACCCACACCTGCAGCGGACCAAGCGAACGGCCACGCGTCAGCCGGCGGGCGGCGGTGGAGAGAGCGGGCGGTGGCGAGGGCGGTGAGGGCAGCGAGGGTTGCGAGGGCGGCGGCGGCGGGACGGTCCGACGGGAGTGGCGGACACAGCGGCAGCGGCGGTGGCAGCGGCGGTGATAATATCGGTGCCGGCGGCTCGCCGCGCCTCGTCAAAGATGCCAGAGTACTCTGCGGCTTGGATGACCCAGTCGATGAGCGGCCGGCCCTGCAGGATCTTGATGTTCTTGCGCGGGACCGAGACGGAGCCGCCTCGCGCGGGGATGACGGCCACGATACGAGGCACGACGTCGCCGTCGAAGACGGGAGAGGCGGGAGCGGCCATTGTCTTCGGCGAGCAAGGAAAGCTGGCGAGCAACAGCGGCTTTCAGCGCTGAAAGAAGAAAACAGAGCTAATGTGCCCTGCGTGGTGGCGGCGTGCCGTCCACCCGTCCTCCCATCCCTCCCTTGGGGCTCTGTTTTCTTTCTTTCTTTCTTTGCACAATTGCATCAGAAAAGAAAAACGTATGAAGAAGAATTTTATGAAGAAGCACTCACAGTCACGGTGAGCTCGCAGGATTCGGGAAGCCCTGCACTCTCAGCCCAAGCTATAACGTCACATAACACTTCTGTCAATCATCTTCAACATCTCTCTCTCTCTCTCATCATCTTCAACCAAGCAGCCAAAGCCTCGTGCAGCAGCGTCCTAGCAGGACGCGAAGGCACGGCTGTAGCCGCGCTGTCCTGGGGCTGTCTCGGTGACGGTGGCACCCGGAGGGAGGAACTAGGGCGCAGAGGCCATTCCTGCGCGCCAGCGGAGAGGTCCTCACTCGGAGAGGTCCTCACAAGAGGTCCTCGGCGAGGACTATGTGCAGCCAAGAACAACATTAGTTCATTTAGCAAGTGGTCCGCTGTGCTTGAGCACTTGAGCACTGGATAGGGTCGGTTCCGCATGGTACGGGACCCCTCGATCGTCTCGCCCTCCCTCACTGGTGTGTTCATTGGGGGGGGGGGGGTCATAACAAACACGGTACAGGATCGAGGTGATGTGTGGCCGCGACACTGCTGTCGGCGACGTGTCTGGCAGTCTCGCCCACGGGGGAGGGCGTGGCCGGCGTGGCTGGGGTGGGTGTGGGAGACAGAATAAGCCAGCGCGAGAGACTGAGCGCAGCCGAGGTCCTCACAATGCGGCCCGGAGCCAGAGGTCCTCACACAGTCTTCATACATTCGAACCTCTGCCATGCGCGCTCTCAGGACTCAGCTAATAAGTGTATTAAGAGGAGCCAGGGCGAGAGAGAGACACGGACGCATGGGGGGGGGGGGGGGGTCTAGCCGACGCACACAGGGGGTTATGGGATGACCGGCAAGCTGTGAGAGCGAGGAGATTAGTGTGTGTGAAAATGTGGAGTCATGTTTGTGTCAAATATTGTGCTGAGCTGGGCCCATATCTGCGGACGGAGGCGGATCGTTGTCAAAACACAACAAAAATCTCTCTCTCCCCCAGCTGAGCATGTCGAGGCTTTGGCGAACTTGAGAGAGATTTTTGTTTTCTTTTCTGGTACAGCACGCGCCAGTTCGCACCTGTGTCGAGCCTGTGTGCTGTGAGAGAGAGTTGTTTTGTTTAAATTCTGGTACGGAACATAAAGGGGGTGAGGAATACACCAGAAGTATGTGGTACGGCCAGATGATTGGCATCGGGTTGCGGGCAAGAGAGCCCTAGCGCTGGGAGAGCGGACCTGGTTCTTTTATCTCAGACAGCCGAGATCACTCTAGGCAGAGGTCCTCACACGCGCACCCTCCGAGTCTCGCCGCGACTGGCGCCCAAAAAGGCCCGCTCAGGGCGCACAGAGTGAGGCACGTGCCAGAGCACGGCCGTAGGGGAGCCTGCTCGCACCCTCGCTCCGGAGAGGGGGTGCGCGAGATTTGCCAGCGAGCGCACTGGTTGTGTTACCGACCATAGACGTTGTCATTGTTTAGTGCGTACTAGTGCGTGAGCCATCCGATGGCTCACGGTTGCCATCCCATCCGCAGGCACCCCATTTCTCATTTCTTTCTTTCACTGCAGCGCATGTCCATAGGGCTGGGTCTAGATGGGTCGTGAGGCACCATCCAGGCCGACATGGGCGTGGACTAACCGGGCGAGGTCCTCAATCAACAGCAGAGGCCCTCAAAACGAGGACGACAGGACGTGCACAGGACGTCTCGCGACTGGCCGGTTAGTATCCGCAGAGCCGGCGCGGGCGCCCGAGGTCAGGGCGCGCACAGAGTGAGGCACGCGCAGAGCACGGCCGTAGCAAGGGCAGGTTTATTGCTCTCAGCGAGGGGGTGAGCGAACGAGATGTATGAGAGAGTGAGAGAGAGAGATTTTATTGATGTATGTGGCCAGCGCGCACTCTAGATAAGAGGACACAAGTATCGAAAGGTGTGCATCGGCGGCCCTCTCTTCCTTGTAAAGGTGATCTTACTTACTTACAGACCGTCCGCGCATTCTCTAGCTCGTACGTAAAGTCGAGAGAGAGACAGATTTTTTACTTTTTAGCTGAAAAGTCGATCGATTATTCTCTTGCACTTGGAGCACTTAAGCTGCGGTCATCAGCCTCACACCCAGGGCCGCGGAGCTAAGAGTGCACCCCAGCTAGTTAGTTAGTTAGGAAGGCGAAACACAGTCCGACCAACGAGGGACCCTAGCGTCCCTTGGCTAGCGTGTATCGCGCGCCTTGATTGATTGATTGATGGGAAGGCGAAACACAGTCCGACCAATGACTGGGACACCAACGCGGTATGGGTGGACGCTAGCGCCTTGCGGCGCCATTTGTTCCAGCACTTTTTTATCTGAGACAGCCGATCCTTGGTCGGCGAGTGCGCGCCGCCATCCACAGCCGCCTTCTTCTCCAGCACGGCCCAACGCCGTGACCCCCTCTCGTCGTAGGGCCACGCTTTCGCGAGCAGGCAGCCACGGGAGCCGGCCAGTCAATTTACAGGCGCGGTCTGCCCACATTAGCGGCGCTCGGTGCCGGCGGGAGCCGACTGTGCTAGGGTGCAAATCACGGCTAAGGACCGACGACGGTCGCCATCAGCGCGCTCTCATTTGGTGACCGTAGGCTGCTTCCCATGGGGACCTGCCTCTCCTCGCAAAAGGGCCGCCTGACCAGCGACTATGTCGATGCGGTCGTAAACAAGGAGCGCGGCAGCGCCAACAAGCCAAACGGGCCGGCGCGTCGAGAT